ATGTGTAATATTTTAGCAGAGCAATAAAACATGGATAAATATATCTAATCTTTAATTTCTATCAACTTAGATTAGATTATATATGGTTTTTTATGATTTTGCTGTAAGAGGTTTTTTATTGTATGCCTTTATTTTTAAAAGCCAAATACGTTTTAACTACATAATAACAAAAACATTCCTGTCTCCTGACCAGGTGCTCCCTGAAAGGTTCATATAGCAGGACTTCAGTGGATAGACCATTTCCACAGCAATAAATAAGGAATGTCAGCACCTCTGTTATACTGTGTGAAGATGAGTGGTATATAATCCAAGTGTTGTGTGATTTTGCAGTCTATCCAAGAACAGTTTAGATGAAATTAACAGAAATGCACTTCTTTGCACAGAAAAGTGGATTTTGTCCAGAAAATACAACAGATGTACACAGGAGAAAGATGCACATTCACATTCACACGCACATGCACACACACAGGCTCCATACATGTGGAGTGGGATTTAAACAAACATATTCATGTAATTGTGCAAATACACACATTTGTTTAAATGTGAGCATTGTTATTTATGTTCTGTATTATGCATAGTTATATGAGCCTGCATGTTTGAGGCAGTTTGCCAAACATGTGAAAAAAGGAAATGTTCTAGGCTGCTGTTATTATTGTTATGTGCTGTCAAATTGGATCTGATTTATGGCAACTCTATGAATGAAAGCCCTCCAAAATGTCTTGTTCATGACATCCCTGCTTAGCTATTCTAAATTCAAGGATGTGTTTTTTTTAAGGAGTACATCAATTGCTTATTTTCTTCTTCTGCCTTTGACTTTCCCTAGCATGGTTGCCTTCTCCAGAAAGTCTTGCCTTCTCATGATGTGTTCAACATATGACAGCCTCAATTTTGTCATTTTTGCTTCTAGGAAAAGTTCTGGCCTGATTTGATCCATGATCCATTTATTCACCTTTCTGCCAGTCCATTCACAAACCTTTCTTCCAGCTCCATGTTTTGAATGCATCAGTTTACTTCCTCTCAGTGTTCTTCACCGTCCAGCATTCATGCCCATACATAGTAATCAGAAATACAATTGCATGAATGATCTTGGTCTTGGTCTCCAGTGAAATGTCCTTATTATTTAATAATCATTTCTACTTCCTTCACTGCTGTCCTTCCAAGACCAGCAGTGGAATACAACTGTGAATGATTATGTACTTGCTGTATCCAAACATCCAATGATGTGCCTGCCTGCCTCAACTCTGCAGCTGAGTTTCAGTATGTCAACAGGATGGAGCTAGAGCATAAGCTTCGGAAGGCAGATGATGGACCTTGCATTGCCTGTTTCTATAGCAGGAATTGTAGAAGTCATTTGGTGCCACTCCAAAGCATTGTTGTAACAATGAAAGGGTTGCTTCCTCCCTCCTTCCCCCTTCCACCCACGTGCACACAATTGTCAGCTGAAAATCTTGCCTAGAGTTCTAGGCTACAGAGATGAATGATCTGTAACTTCCTTAAGATATAGAAGTGTATGATTAAAATGTAGCAAGGGTATGAAGTATCTCAAAAACACTGAGCCATGAAATAAGCAAACACAGCTATTATGTAGATCTGAGAGCAATGTACAGTAATAGTCATATTCTATCTAAGATGCTTCTTTTAATCATTAAATGAATAAAAAAAGATGGACAAATGCTTACTCCCACTGTCAGCACTGCCATGGCTGGTCTTCTCCTCTGGCTGTATAAATAGCCCAGCCAATTTCTACTGCAAAAGGCCCAGCATGGATTTTGTGGTAGATTTGGACTACTGTTGGACTACTGTTGTTTCTTCCTATCTACTAGTTTACAAGATGCAAAACCATAGCTTCATTGTCACTTAGATGAATTTACATTTTGCTGAATGCCGTCAACGCCCATGATGGTTGTCCAGATGTGTGTGACTTCAGTTTCTCCAGCAGACAATGACATCTGGCATATTTAACTCCTCCTCTCTTCTTCCTATTAGCGTGGCTTTCTTGATGTTTCTCATGCTTACTAGGGGAAAAGACTGCTGACTGGTGTGTTTTCAGACTGATTTACATTCCTTTGTGGCTTACAGTTGCCAAATGCATACTTAAAGGTTTAGAAATCAGTGTTTGTGTCAGAGGCTGGCGAATAACAGCTTGAACTGATGAAATCAATAACATACAGATGAACCCCAAAGCACATTCCAAGCTAAACACCCTATGTTGTGGAGAGCTTCTTTCATGATTGCAGTAAAATATATCTTCCATTTCCAGATAAAGGCAAAAAGCAGCTCCTCAGAATAAAATACATACATGAATCAAGCAGAACAGACCAAACACTACATATAGAACTTCCATTTGTTAAAGGTAACAAAGTCAGTTTACACTTTTTGCTTTGACCATCAAGTGACATATGAAATACATGTGTGTTTATTATGCACACTTCAACAATGCTTCAACAATGCACGCTGCAACAAGATAGATATTTGGTATATTCACTGGAACATCACATATCAGGTTATTAGCTGACTGGAGAGCTATGAGATGCTTTGACAACAGCACTCTCCCTTGATCAGACCCTCTCTTTCTGCAACAAAAGAACACAACTAAGACATGGTATAAATGTGGTCTTACTTCCATGGAATGGCCACTTTGCATTTTTATGATCCAGAAACTTGAAGAACTAGCATGCAGCAATTTTCTCTATCAGCCTCTTTCATGGCCTTCTATACATGTTCAATTTGAATATACAGAGAGGGGATTGTACAGATCCCCTTAAAGCTGCAGCTTTGCAAACTTGAATGGGCAGAACAAAGGCTCAGCTCTGTAGAACTCTGTATGTGTGAATCAGGACTACATCTGTCATTACACAGGAGGAGGAAAACAAGAAAAGGAACCAAGAGCCAATACTGAAACCTGGAAGTCTCTTAAATCTTACAATTTCTGATAATTTCCCCAATGGTCCAATGTCTTTTTTGTCACACCTTTTTGATATTTATTCTGGAGCATGCTTTTTGTAGATATTAAGTCCTAAAGCTGGTGCCTTCCTCTGTGTTGATCTACAACTTCCATCATCACTAGCCAGCATGGCCACTGGCTATACTGGCTGGGAAAGATGGGAATTATAGTGCAACAGATACAGAGAGCACAAGACTGGAGAAAACTGTACTAGTTGGTATCATAATAGGATTAAACACTTTAGGTTTTTTATTGTTGAAATCCTTTGCAAGTTGAAGTGTGCTATTTTTAGCCATTCCTCATACAATAATCCATTATTTGCTACATTATATTAATAAAAATGTATTCCCCAAGCAAACCCTTCTAAGAGTGCCAGCTAGGCACAAAAATATTAAAACAGCTCACAAGAAGGGAATAAAGTATCTTAAATGGTCTTATTAAGAAGAGTTCAAGTTTTCAGAATGGAAAATATAGCATAATATAAGGCTGTCACAATTTAAGTGCCTTCTATTCTATTTCAGTAAAAAAAAAGACAATGGACAACATTGAGTCCATTAGTAGTTTCCTGACTTGGATAGAAATGGTTGCTATGCATGATTTTATACTCCAAGACAACAGCCAAAAGCAAAACCTGGACCTTTATACTCCAAGACAACAACCAAAAGCAAAACTTTCTGAAAGGAAAGTCTGAGTCTGACTTTCCTTTCAGAAATCAAATGAAACACTCTCCTCTGTTCCTGATTTCTGCTTCTTCCAGCTAACAATGTCCTAAGATACCATCAGAAGGAAAAAGATGCAGCAGGCTTACTGAAGGCACACAGCTATGATTTTGCTCAATGACAGACCATTTGGGAAAGCTATGAATGCTTAAAATTTACATCCATAATGAAAGAAAAGAGGGATCTCCCCCCGCACCTCCACCTCCACCATCTCCATCTCCATCTCCACCCCCATCTCTATCATCTCCATTTCCATGTGAGATCGTATTTGTATCCCACCTTTCTATCTAGAATATGGTATCCAAGGCAGCTAAAAATCATAGGAACTAAAATATTTCAAATTTCTAAATTTGGCTAAAAAATAATATCTGTCTGTCATTTGTCTGCTTGACTGTTTGTCTAAAATTAAATATGACTTCCTCTCACAATGAGAAAACAATCCACACCTGTGCACACACAAATACACATTAAAATGCAACTCAACAAACCTTTAAAATACAGCTAAAAAGCACAACAATATCAGAACAAAGACAGTACCTAATTGAACAGGCCAGCTTACATGGCAAAGGCCTACTTGACCAAAAAGCTTTTTCTCCCCAAAGGAAGGATAGCAGAGATGGAGCCAATGAAACCTTCCATTCCAGAGAGTTCCAGAGCTTACAGAATAACAGAATTAAATGATTGGTGGCAACTCTGGATTTATAGGTGATGTTCAGCAAATCACAGAAGCATGCAAACTCATTCCACATAAGCTTGGTATACCCTATGACATCCTTCTCAAGTTACAGCAGAACAAACTCAGGTTCTGCTATGAGGAAGCCACACAGTTCTGAACAACGTTCATTTCAACTTATAATTTAGGGGCAGCCGTAAATAGTGATTTGAATATACTCCTGACAGAAAACCATAGCAAACACATCTCTTCATCTGGACTTGGACAGCAAAGAACCAAATGACCATCCTCTGTGTGTAGCAACCTCTCATAGAGGGTAGTCCTTTAAATAGAAGACCATCCTGGTCTGTAAAAGAGGTCACATAGCCACTATCAGAGGACTCCTGGCATGTATATGTATCTGTGTTCAGGCACTGCATGGAAAAGCCCATAAAACTGATTCCTACTTCCTATTACCATCCAGAAAAGTGGAGCACTAGATTTGGTGGTCAGCTTTTCCCAGAAGTGTTCCTTGAACATATTTCCTGAATACAGTAGAAGAAATGCACCCTGTAAATATTGTCTGCAGTTCACATTCCATGAACAGTAGACCATGCTATCCTTTCACCCCATTGTCCCCAAATGAAACCCCATTATTACATATGAGAATGATTTAGAAACTCACCCCAGCCTTTGGTTTAGCTCCAGAACCAGCCATAGGAATAGGAAACGTTCGATCAGCACCATAGGGAGGAGGAGGAGGAGGCAGTGGTGGTGGCAGTGGTGGGATGTTTGTTTGCTGGTGGCTCAGGGTAGCAATGTCAACTCCACTTTCAGAATGTGATTCCAAATCCTTCAAAAAAGAAATAGAAATCTTGCTAGTGGATGCACAAGTTCATTAGCTGATGATAATGTTATTAGCTATAGGAATACATTAAGGCACACATCATTTTTAAAAGTGTACAGCACACTCCTTTTCTTTCTTTTGTACATTCTTATGTTCAATAATAGTGGTATCTAATAACGGCTGTTCTAACACTGTAAGGTATCTTAAAGATCAAAGCTGCAGTGCCCTTAAGTAAGAAAAACAAATTTAGTTTTGTTGAGGAGTCAGGACTTTAGAATACTGGCATGTTTTCTCTGATCATTTCCTGTGCATCTTAGGTTATAGCCCCACCTTTTGTCTTTGGAAGAATTTGAAACCTCTGCTAACATCTGGAAATCATTATACAGCCAGGCTGACATCATCTCTGGAACCTTGTGCAGGTGAAGCCCCTTGTTTTGTTTTTAGCTTAAAATGTGAAGAATTAGCAACATCCACCTCAGCGTTTCAAGCCCTTTGTAGCATCTACAGGGACTACCACAATCCAGCACACAGCTGTATACAATGATGTCCCTTTAAAAGAAATGGAGCATAAACACAAACAGCTATGGCCCAAATCAGAGGTGGCCTGCAATGTGTGGCCTTCCAGACTGAAAGCTCCATCAGAATGGCAATGGTAAGGAATGGTGGGAGCAGCAGCCAACAGCTTCTGGAGAGCTATATGCTCCCCATCCCTGGCCTAAATGAACAAGACATTTAACACTTGTGTATCTCTTTGCATATGCAGGGGTGCCATCTTTCACTGGTTCTGCTCCTGAAATAGGATGGTTCAGAGAGATGGTGTTTATAAAACAGTGCCACCAGGATTTAAATGTGTGTCTTTCCAAATTCCTAGAAACCTTTCCACACCAACTGGTCTGATGAGGAACCTCTGGATATTGTAAGGATTTGTGACTGATCATGTTCTATGCTTTTATTCAGTTCATTAATGTTTAGTTCAACAATGACCAGGCCTGTTATTTATCTCAGCTGATGTCCATCATAAACAATCTTTTATTCAGTTATTAACATTTATGTATTGCCTTATATGCTGAAAAGCATTCATACAGCTTTTTAAAACAAGGAACAGAAACATCAAAAATACTTAAAACTGCATACTTTTAAAAGCTAAACTAAGAAGATGCATCTTTACATTATTTCTGAAGGCCAGCAGAATGGGTACCAACCATGATTCCTGAGGGAATTCATTCTATAGCATAGGGACAACACAGGAAAAAGCCCTTTCATACATGCTTCTTCCTGACAGTTAGGACCTCGAGGGTGTGGAATGGGCTTCCATGGGAGGTGGTTGAGGCCCCATGGGTGAGGGTGTTCAAGGATAGGCTAGACATGCACATGATGGGCGTGTCGTGAGCGGAGCCGGCTGGAGCCGGGGGTCAGACTAGATGGCCTGGGAGACCCCTTCTGACTCGCTCTGTTTCTCTGTTTCCATGCTTAGCAAACAGGCCTCTGCAGTACTGGTGCCCTAAAGAAGGGCTCACCTTCCTAGCTAAATTTCCAGGGAGGTTCACAGCAGGAGAAATGGACTTGACAAATGCCTCATTTTGTCCAGAGAGTGCCCACAGCAGTCTTTCAACATTCCAAATGTGCCCTCCAGCTCAAAGGTGTTGGGGAACCCTAGTTAACATTTCATAGATGTTTTCTGAATTTTCATCTTATTGTGCTGATATACCAAACAAAAAGTTAAGTGTAATATTCTACATGTTTGGACAGAGAAAGGTCACAAAATCCCCAGCTAGCATAGCTAAACATGCATAGGATTGCACCCTTAGTGTATTTCAACTTGATTCAATTCTGGTTAGAAGCAGCACTGGAATGAATGAGATGGAAATGTTTTTATGGAAATGTGTAAAATACATTGCAGAAATGAAAAGAAGCAGGGGCTAGGCATTCCTACATCATGGCTGGATTCAGCTGCAGACATTGCTGAAGCTACCACTGTAAGAGGAAGCAGCAGTCCCTCCTTTGTGCTGACATACAATGCTATGATCAGCAGAATTACTGCCTTGTCAAGCAGTGTAAACCACACAAATGGGGAGGATCAGTGGGACACAGTCATTTACATTCTAGAGGAAGGACCAGGAAAGGTATCGTGGAGGAGGAGTTGCTCTGGACATCAAAGAGAGCATACTGTCGAACAGACTAGGCAACCTAGAAGAGGGGACTCTTCTAAAGAAGCACTGAGGGTAGCAGTATCAGGTTCCAAAACTCATTTAGTACTAGGGTCATTGCTGTTATCCCCCAGATCAGGACACTCAAGGAGATCGTGCGATGGAAAATGAAATCAAGGAGGTCTCCAATGATGAAGTGTTGTAGTAATGCGTGATTTCAGTTATCCCACACTGACTGCACAAAGGCATGTTCCAGTCATGACAAAGAGATTCAGTTTCTTGATGCTCTAACTGTGCCTTAGAACTGTTGTTCATGAAACCAGTCACTGGGGAGGTGACCACTCAGGATTAAATTGTTACACAGGATTTATTATGAGATATAAATATTGAACCAACTAGAAACAGTGACCAATTGCTATCCGATTTAATAAATATTAACCAGGGTCCAGGGTCCAACATAGTCACATTTGACTTCAAAAGAGCAACATTCTCTAAAATGAAGGGACACTGAAACGGACGCTGAAACGGGGAATCAGGGAAAGGTTACATTCCTTGCAGGTTACTCAAAAACGCAATAATAGAGGTCAGCTGGAATGTATGCTTCAGGTTAGGAAAGGTAATACCAAGTCCAAGGGATTGCCAGCATGGTTAACACACAGTGTCAAGGAAGCTATTAGACAAAAGGAAGGCATCTGACAGAAAATGGAAGTCTTGCCCAAAGGAGAAAAATGAAAGGGAGTAATGAAAGCAGATGGTAAGAGATGTTAAAAAACAGTTATAGGAGCACAGCAACAATCGAGAATGAGTTAAATACATCAGAAGCAGAAAACCAGATAGAGAGGCATTTAGATTATTAGATGATAGTGGAGTTATAGGAGCAGAAAAAGGGGGGCAGGGTAAGGAGACTGTGGAAAAGATAAATGACTCCCTTTCATTTGCTTTTGTTGTAGAAGATGTAGGACAGATATTGTGCCGGTACTGATGTTTTTCATGAAATTAATACAGGGACTGCCTGAACATCATTTGGAAATAATATGTTCCTTTTCCAAATGATTCCTTTACATGTTGTGCAAAGAAAGATAAATGATCCTACTGTGTATATGGAGCATTTGTAAGCCAAATTGGGAGTGCTTTGCCTTGAAAGGTAAAAGATAATTATTTGAAACAAAGGGAGTTGAGCAAAAGAATGGATTGTGTCTTTCAGTGTGATTCCCAATAATTTAAAAATAACATAGGAAACTAATCCAGCATAGTAGAAATAGTAATTTGCCTCATCCTTTCCTGTCAACTACAATTCCACTGGAGAAAACTCTTCCCTAAGTCTACAAATTATGTGGTATAGCTTGAATATTAATTGTATCAAGAAAAGGATTTGCGAACAGTCCATAAATGGCTCCATGCCAAAATAGTGGAACTTCCTGAAATGTGAACCCTAAAAGATCAGGAAAGGTGCAACATTTCAGCCCCCTCCTTCCCCTTTCAAATTGATCACCAATCACATCAGACTATCGGGTTATCAGTGTTATGCCAGTTTGCCTTAAAAAAAAAAAAATAGAGGAAACCCCCTGATGTGATTTGAACGTTGCGCCTTTGCAATGCTTCAGTCACAAGTTCATTTCAAACTAGAGGTTAGGACACTGCACAAAAAAATGTACTCTCTTTTTACTTTATAAATACTAAATGGTACACACTGAAATGGAAAGGCAAATTGTGAGGAGGGAGGGAGGGAGGGAGGAGGAGGAGGAGATTTTGACAGGTAAATAACAACTGGAATAAAAGATCAGTAAACAGAGAAGCTCACAGGTATGTGCCTCCGTGTGTGGGTCAGCATGCTGGATGGTGAGGCCCCTAAAGTGAGGGCATTCTCAATGTCCTGATCGAGCTGGTCCAGTTTCAGAATGAGCAGTACCATGGAGTCCAGTCGTGACTGATCTCGATCTTCTCTCGCTTCCTGGGGATTAAAACATGCAATTACAGAATCTGAAAGGGCACTTCTGGGAAAGAATAAAACACTCTCTGTTCCCTAATTTAACAAAACGGCATTGAATAATAGGCAGCAACTCACACTTTAGAGGGAAGGGCGGGAGGAACACCGCGCTGTATTCTCTCATCAATGGGCTGTTCACTGTTGACTTCCTGACCGAGAAGCATTTTGCATGCATCTCAAATATATTTCTCTGCAAAGACTGGGATAATAATAATAATTTGCTTTCAGTGATGCTTATGAGAAATAAATGAGAATGAGTTTGTCTACCGATGCTGTTGCATTCTCATGTATATCGCCTATGTACTGCGTAGATTCTGTGTTTGCATCTCTAGCTGGGCACCTGGTAAGACCAGGCTGGTGTCAAGGGACTGGCATTGTGAGGCACCTACTGAAGTGCACATCCAAGTGGCGTGGCTCATTGCCAGCCCCTAAAGCCACCTGGCTCTCCTGCTCATTTCTGATCACCCTCTTTGAGTGAGCAGGCAATGAGAGGAGCAAAGAGGAGGACACAGGCTGATTCCCTGTACTTACTTTTGAGTAAAGAAAACACATAGTGTTACTACAAACTGTGTTGCTTATATCAGTAGTAATGTGTAGTTTGATCCCAAGTCATATGGTCACTTACAAATCACACACACAGACAGACAGAGCATCGCCAAAAAGGAAGGTAAAAGAGAACATCAAGTTCAGCCACCTTTGTGATGATACAAATTTAGACATGATTATAATTTCCATGAAAGTACGATATATCTTGCTACAGTGGGCAACTCTGTCTCCAGGTGACAGGTGTGCCTACTTGGTTTGTTGTCCAGCACTACTGGGGTCCCTGCTCTGGCACAATTGGACAAGGGAGCCTTTTGAATAGAGGACTGTGCTCTGTTCTGTAGAGTCTCAAGGGTGTGGAGCTGTTTGCTTGGAAAGCATTTAGCCACATGACTGTAACTTAATGTAATGAGAAATCCTATTGTCACGCTAATAAATATAGGCTATGTTGTGTTCAATGCTACATGAATTCCTGCATAAAGAACAGGCAGGGTTTATTCTAAGCATTGTTGTCCACTGTTCAAGAATCCAGTGCTATCCCCTCTTCGAATCCCCCATGGGTGAGCACCTCCCAGACTTTTCCTAATGGTCAACAGTAAAAAACTGACATCCATATCCCCAATAGCACAAAAACGTAGTTTTCATGGCAATGGTTTTTTTTAACAACTGCACAAAATGTGTCCAGCTGCACACTGGAATACAGTCACACATGCTTTCCCTCAGATATTTTTCTATACATTCCATGTCTGGAGGAAAAAGGAAGTGTACTCCCTTGGAAGAAGCAAAGCATTCTACTCAAAATATTTTGGACTTATGCAAAGTGCTTAGGAATTCCATATAGGCGCCTTGTGTTTCTACATTTGTGTTTGGGCAGACAAGTCTGAAAGCTGGCGTGTTCCAACTTCTCCTTCCAGAAGGGCCAATTGACTGTCAGTCTTCTGGCCCCCCTCTCAGCTCAAGCATTGCAAAGGATACAATACTTGAAATGTGTGTGTGCAACTTCTTTTCCTTTCATTTTTCCTCTAGAGTAGGTGCAGGGCCCCTGATAAAATCAGGACCCTAGCATAGGAGGGGTAGGGGAAGTTTAAGATTTGGGCTCGGCCCCCTATGCCTACTCTAAAGCAAAAATGAATGGTCATAGCTAGCAGACACCCAGTTACAGTGATGTCTGTTTTGACCTTGAGAAAGTGCAGCCTACATGCTCCCTTGCGTCAACAACACTGGTTTCAAATGATGGTTTTTTTATGGTTGAAAGCCTGGTCTCTACTTGTACTTCAGTTCTTGGGCTAGGTACTTTCCATTTAGTTTCCCTAGTATGCCTTCCAGGAACGGAATGTTTTGTGGCCAGCCATGACCATGATGGCAGCCGTTTTATAAATTGGCTAGCATCTCCTGCCACTCCATGTCCGTCATTTAATGAGGGCACTCACAGCTCACTTTCAATGAGACCAATGTGTCCACTGACCCAAGAAGTTTGGAAACCGCTGTGCAATCATTTACTCAAAAGTAAGTGGCATTGTGTTGGAAGGGAATTACTCTTTCCCGTGAAACAACTCCCTTTCAACACTCCCATGTAAGGGTGAATAGTGAGGGCAGGGACTAAGAAGAGCGGTTGTTATCAGTCTCAATGAAAGATATACTGCCTTTTGGAGTTAATTTTCAAGCTTGCTTCCTTGGCATTAAATTGCTGTTCCTCCACAGGCTGCCAAGGGAACCTGCACAAGATGGCTCAAGTCTAAGAATCCAGGCTAAACACAGTGCACCAGATACATTTTCAGACCCTTGGGGAAATGATATCATGGGAGCAGGCTCCATCTTAGACATATGCAACTTCATTGTACAGTTTTCCTCCATGTGTATAGAAGCAGTGTTGGTTTCCTGGATTCAGAAGAAAACATGGGATCGCTCTCTCTCTCAAGTAACAGTCATGATGAATAGGAAATGGTGATTGGAGTTACCTTGTGCTAATAACTGAGAACATAATATTTCCACTCCCTCTGTGTGTGCTAGGGTTCAACTAGGCCTATCCCACCCACTCGTCCACCAGTAGACATACCGCCACTATGCCAGGCATGAAGAAATGTGCCACTACTGGAGGTCCTTCTGTGATCTTACTCTCTCCTTGCACCCCACCAGTTTCCTCACACACAAAGAGCATACTGGTGCTGCATACTGGTGCCCCCCAGGGAGATGTGTACCACCGGATTAGTGCCGCTGAGCTGCCACACTTCCTTGGGAATGGCTGGGCACTTTAGTTGGATTCATGCATCTGGATCAAAGCACATGGGACTAAAAGTGGGGGTGGAGGCAGAACCACACATGCAAGCCAGCAGCATGTTCCCACATGCGGCAGCTCCACTTGCAGAATTCCCAGCTGTGAGAGGGAATCTAAATGTGTTCAGGAAACTTCACACAGGATCCCTGTCCAGACCCTTCTATTCAGGTCCTTCAGGACCTTCCTTGTCATAGCACCCGGGTTGTGGAACCTACCCCTGCATTGTGACATTAGGTTGGCTTCCTCATTCGGCTTGCGAAAACAGCCAAACATCTTAATTTTGGGGGGCTGTTCTGTTTTTTTTGTAATATAGGCAGTTTATCTATTTTGTTTTCAGGTTTCTTGAAATGGCTGTATTTTAAAGTGTTGATGCTGGTTTTATTGCAAATTGCCTCCAACACTCACTGTGAGGGGGGATTCAAAAATATATACATTCAATAATTAAAAATAAAGTGTAGCTGGAGTGAGAACTCTGATGGGGGGCAGGTGCTTACAAGTAAGTGTCTGCCCTCTCCCCACTTTAAGGCCGGACACATTCACTTGCAGGCATGAATATTTTTTGTTTACTGATTATTACATTCACACCCCCTTTTGTTACATTTGTTATCTCCCCCTCAATTGTTTTATTTATTTCCTTCGAAGAATTCAAGGCAGCAGCATGCGATCCTCCTCATTTTATCTTCACAACAATCCTGTGAGGCAGTTTAGGTGGCAAGTCAAAGATTGGTTCAATGAACTTCATGGCGGAGTGAAAATTTGAACCAGAATCTTTCCATACCCAGTGCTCCAGCCACTATACCACGCTGGATCTAGCTAATAGGACTCTGGCTTTGCACCTGGCACCATGACCTGGAGGCCACAGAGCATGAGAGGCCTATGGGGGTCTCCTTTGCGCATAGCGAAGTGCATACACAGCAGGGCCTGACGCATGCAAGAGAAAAACCCTCATGCTTTAAATTTGCTAATATTGAGGGTTAAGGATTTGCCCTAAGGAACCTTCAGGAACTCAGATATTTCAATCTGTGATCACCATTTCAACAATGCTCTGAAGTATTTTGGTTTTTATTTGAATATTGCACCCTGCACTAAGACATTTTTTTTCATTTATTACTTTTCCACATGGTATATTGCAGAGTTAAGCATCTAGTAAATGTATTCATAAAAGCTGAAGACTTATACTCATAAAAACTAAAGTATGCAGAAAATCTTCCATGTGATATTAAAGTGGAGAGTGTTCATCTGTGTTTCTAATCTATGCCTGTGTTGCCATAGTCATGCAGAGGTATTTGCCCCTTATGAAAGATCCTGTACATGTCTCTTCTAATCTTGTGACCAGTTTATATCTTTAACTTGCCTTTTTTTTCTTTTTCCACTCAGCAAACAAATTCAATTACTTGCAAATGGTTTCATCAAATTATAAGTGTCATATAAAACATGTGACAAAGAAAGATGCTCTCAGTGTTTGGGTTTTCTGGGAAATTGTCTACAGCTCAGATTTTCCTAAGCTGAAGGGCTGCAACAAGATTCAGATACTAATATTATGAATGTCACTTCTGATTACTATAAAAGTAGGATCTGAGTTTGGCATGAGCATCCCAAACTTTTCAGTAGTTATTTAGATGACACACTACTTCTGATGTAATACTTGTCAGTCTTAGGTTTGTTGTCAAGAAATTGCCCTACAAGCATATTCAGAAAGATGACAGTGTGGTGAATTATGCATGTAGTTCTCCAGAGGACATTCCTCCAAATAAGAAAATGAGAGAAATTTACAGGAATATACATTGTTTATTGTACAATTTGCCAGTTTTCAGTGACCTGTCCAGATTCCAGTCAAAGAGCTTTCTAATAACAGCGGTATCTTGTGCATATTGGTTTGTATACCCCATTTCCTAAAAATGATAGGAAGTTCGAGAGGCAGACACCAAAGGTTCAGTTTCCTGGTACAGTGTGTGTGTGAGAAAGGAATGAGAGAGAGAGCGAGTGAGCAAATACTGATTACTTTTGCTGTTACTGTAGTATTTTCAGGTGCTCAGATTCAAGGACAGTTTAGACATACCAGCAGAAAGCAGGTGTGTTGGACTTAAACCAGGAACACCTGGATAGAAATTACTTTCAAATTATTGGTGACCATGGACCAGTAATT